TCAAGAAAAAAGTTGTATTTTAACCGTACATAAATTACATAAACAGCCCAGTCCTGTGCTCAGAATTGCACCATTATCAAATTAAGAATTTCATAACCTACAATGCTTCACAAAAGTCATCAGGAAAGAAGAATATTTTTAACGTCTGATGCTGTATCTAATAATGAGAAACAACAGTCCTGCTCAAACACACCTTTAGATTTGGAGAAATGTAGCGTTCCATCCTTTGCTTATCAATGGGTCCTCTGCAGTGAATGGGTGCCGTCAGAATGAAGGTGTATTTCTTACAAACACACAGCTTTTGTCTTCTCCAGATGTTAACTGATGGACTGGAGTGCTGTGGATTACTTGTGGATTATTGTGATGTTTTTATCAGCTGTTTGGACTCTCATTCTGACGGCACCCATTCAACTCCATTGGTGAGCAAGTGATGCTAAATTTTTTGCTAAAATCTGTTCTGATGAAGAACAAACTCATTTACATTTTGGACAACCTCATGGTGAGTAAATTTTAAGCAAGTTTGAACTTATGCATTCTTGTCTGCGACTGAAAAGGAGTTTAAGCGGATATTCAAGAAAGAAGTTGTATTTTAACCGTACATAAATTACATAAACAGCCCAGTCCTGTGCTCAGAATTGCACCATTATCAAATTAAGAATATCATAACCTACAATGCTTCACAAAAGTCATCAGGAAAGAAGAATATTTTTAACGTCTGATGGTGCTGTATCTAATAATGAGAAACAACAGTCCTGCTCAAACACACCTTTAGATTTGGAGAAATGTAGCGTTCCATCCTTTGCTTATCAATGGGTCCTCTGCAGTGAATGGGTGCCGTCAGAATGAAGGTGTATTTCTTACAAACACACAGCTTTTGTCTTCTCCAGATGTTAACTGATGGACTGGAGTGCTGTGGATTACTTGTGGATTATTGTGATGTTTTTATCAGCTGTTTGGACTCTCATTCTGACGGCACCCATTCAACTCCATTGGTGAGCAAGGGATGCTAAATTTTTTGCTAAAATCTGTTCTGATGAAGAACAAACTCATTTACATTTTGGACAACCTCATGGTGAGTAAATTTTAAGCAAGTTTGAACTATTCCTCTGTTTATTGCATTATTTTAGTGTCATAATGGTGTTTTTTGTGCGTGACATCAGGTACCTTCTACTGTATATATTAATAGGCTAGTATTTAGCGCTTTTGGAAAAGTATCTGCTAATGGTGGTTGTTATATTATAAATGTATAAAACAGATTTTAGGGTTAGGGTTACTTTGTTAAGTTGGAATATTATATCAGTTAATAAAACTTTTTTTAAGTGGGTTAAACTTTATTTTAAGGTGTCCTTGTACATTTAAGTACTGAGTAATATTAATTAACTACATGTACTTACTATATGGTTAGGATTAGGGTTTGGCTTAGGGTTACTTGCATTTAATTATGCATAATTTATTGTTATTATAATAGTAAAAACATGTAACGTGTAACAAGGACACCTTAAAATAAAGTGTTACTGTAATTTTAAGTCCAATCCATAAAACCTCAATTGTTGCTACTATAATTTTTACAGTAAAGTTCTTGCAAACAGATTTTTTTAGTGCTGTCAAGCGATTAATCGCATCCAAAATAAATGTTTTTTGTTTTTTTTTACATAATATATGTGTGTGTACTGTGTATATTTATTATGTATATATATAAATACACATACATACAGGATATTTTGAAAATATTTACAAGTATATATTAATATTGATATAATTTATATTATATTATATATAAATATATTTAATATACAAACATAACATATTTTTCTGAAATATATACATGCATGTGTGTCTATATATAAATAATAAATATATACAGTACACACACATATATTATGTAAACAAAAACTTTTATTTTGGGTGCGATTAATCATTTGACATCACTAAGTAAATTTCACCGATTTTTTGTTTTTGTTTGTTTTTGCAGTGTGCTCCTCTAGATTGCTCCTATTTAAGTTAAATTAGAAGTCACTGCCATCCCTGGGAACTTTGCAAATTGGAGTCTTGTACATGTTTCGCTTGATCTTTATCAATTGTTTTGTATGAGTATTTTGTAGTTGGTTTTGTGTGCAACTTTATGTGCTGCCGTCTTGACCAGGTCTCCCGGGAAGAAGAGACTGTGAAGTCTCAATGGGATTCTCCTGGCTTAATAAAGGATACATTTCAAGAAGGCAAATCACACACTGAAGGCTTTTCGGTTGTTTAGAATAGTAGGATATCTGTTACCACTCATGCAGCTCACAGCTAAACCTGTAAAGGGATACGCCGTCTCGCTTTACAGTAACGACGAACAACTGTCCCTCATTCTCATGTCTTGTATAAAGTCCTATTGCATCAGTGCTGAGAGTTAAACCCCGTGACCCTCATCTGACATGATTCATAATCAGTCATGTACTGACACACACACACACACACACACACACTCTCTCACACACACACGCTAAGCTTCACTGATGACATTTCAAGGGTAATATGCAATGGCACGGCTGGCAGAGCGTCTCTGATTCAGGAGATTATTTCACATTCTCTGCCATGCTGCTGCTGATGATGATGAGGATAAGATGCAAACAGCTGTCAGACAGACTGTGCTTCATTCAGATTGTGCTGAGAGCTTCACTCTCAATCCACTAATCCTGAGAGATCTCCATTCACCTTGCACTGCTTATATGCCAGCAGACCCGCTTAACCAGTTATAGCTCCACTTCCCAATGCTTCACTAGTGAATGAGACCACAGAAATATGTGACCCTGGAGCACAAAACCAGTCATAAGGGTCAATCTTTTGAAATTGAGATTTATACATCATCTGAAAGCTGAATAAATAATCTTTCCATTGGTGTATGGTTTGTTAGGATAGGACAATATTCGGCCGAGATACAACTATTTGAAAATCTGGAATCTGAGGGTGCCAAAAAAATCTAAATATTGAGAAAATCATCTTTAAAGTTGTCCAAATGAAGTTCTTAGCAATGCATATTACTAATCAAAAATTAAGTTTTGATATATTTACGGTAGGACATTTACAAAATATCTTCATGGAACATGATCTTTACTTAATATCCTAATGATTTTTGGCATAAAAGAAAAATCTATAATTTTGACACGACTGTATCGTTGACTATTGCTACAAATATTTTTTATGTTTATATGGTTTTTATTTGTTATTCTTTATTATTTACTTACTTTCTGTCTATTCTCATTAAATACATTTGTATGTGAACCTCAGAGCTGGTGTTATTTTAGTAACTTTGATTAGTTGTTGTTAATACTTTGAATTCAAATTTGTTATATTTTCTGTTTTCCTTTTAATTTTAGTCATCATTTTAGTATTTTTTTTGAGTAGTTTTGTCTTTTTTGTGTGTGTTACTTTCTTTATTAAGTTATTTTAGTACTTCAACTTAAAACAAAAAATATATTTTTTAAAGAAATATTTCATTTATTTAGGTATTTTAAATGTTTATTTTATTTCAAGTAATTTTACAAAGGTTTTTGCTAGTGCTGTCAAAACGATTAATCGCATCCAAAATAAACGTTTTTATGTACATAATATATGTGTGTGTACTGTGTATATTTATTATGTATATATAAATACACACACATGCATGTATATGATTAAGAAAAATATATGTTATGTTTATATATTAAATATATTTATATATAATATAAATTATATGAACATAAATATATACATGTAAATATTTTCAAAATATATACTGCATGTGTGTGTATTTATATATACATAATAAATATACAGAGAACACACACACATATATTATGTAAACAACCACTTTTATTTTGGATTTTGGATTTATTTTTGGATGAAGTCGGCTGATTTCTTTTTTCACTTTCTCTACATTGTCTTTCATTCACAACAAGCCCAAACACTGGAAAATATGTGTTTATTTGGTAGTCATTAATAGAGTGAAATATCAGCTACACATAAATCGCATACTATGCAGAATATTCTTACATTTAAAATATGCATTTTTGCATCACATTTGCATATATTATTCAGTCAATGCATAATACAGAAATTAGGTGTTCTTAGATTGTCAAAAAGAAAGAAGTAAAATACATTATACTAATTAAAAAAATACATGCATATATATATTAAAAATTCATAGTCAACATACAGCAAGATGCTTTGCTTGCAGAACGAGCTGATTATTTCAGCTTCACAGCTTTTATATAATATGTATGACAAATACATTCATATATTTGCATATCATGTTACTAGAAAAACAATGCATATTAGATGTAGCATACGCTATACAAGCTATACAAACTCTAGTGCAACGCACTTTACTGATAAAAGTCTACTTAAAGGGTTCATGGGATGCCCATTTTCCACAAGTTGATATGATTCTTTAGGGTCTTAATGAAAAGTCTGTAACATAGTTTGGTTAATATTTCTCAATGGTAGTGTAAAAAACACCTTTTTTACCCTGTCAAACACAGCTCTTTTCAGATCAAGCCGTTTTTGTAGCATTTCCCTTTAAACGTTAATGAGCTCTGCTGACCCCGCCCCTCTCTTCCGAGCTGCTCTCAGAGAGACTGTTTACTTGCTGTATTCATCGTGAAACTTGCTAATTAGCACATTAATAGGAATGGCGATTTGCAAAGATTCATTACAAAACATTATACTCACTTCTTCTGTAGATGAGGCTGGATCA